ATGCTGTAGCCTGCTTATACACACCTCCTTACCCTTTGCATCTCCTTCCAGATGTCAAATGAGAGATTCCCTATAATGGAAAGGTTCTTTTAAGTAGTGGCATTATGGGGATCTCCTCAATGAAGACTATGTCACTGAAAAGTGACTGGCCTAACAATTGGCTTAACAAGAAAGGAAAAGGCAAATGGATAAGAATGTCTATTTTCTGGACAATTACATGGATCGACTGAGTCCATCTTTCTTTGATATCTGAGTATCTCTCTTGGATAGGCTCTGAAAAGAATGATTTATGAGGAATTAGGATAAGAGTGGATATCTGAGTGTGGAGTCTTTCAATCAATTCATTTTTTATAATGGACATTTATTAACTATGTACTTTATGCTAGGAATAGATACTCAGGAGATACAAAGATGAGTAAGAAAAGGACCTTAAAATCTAATAGGGGAAAAAGCACACATACACAAGTAAATAGAATAGAAAGTAGAGGGTGATATGAGGAGCAGCTGAAGGAAATAGGTCTGGTTAACCTGGAAAAAAGAGTCATAGGGACATGATAGCTACATTCAAGTATTTGAAGGGCCTTTATGTAAAAGAAGGATTGAATTTGTTCTGTTTGACCCCAGAGGGCAGAACCAGGGGCCAATGGAGAAGTTCAATGAAGCTAATTTGGGCTTGATGTCAAGAAAAAATATCCTAACAATTAAACTGTACAAAAATAGAATGAGCTGCATCAGAAGGGATGGGTTTCTCCTCTTTGGAGGTCTTCAAGCAGAAGCTAGATGAATAACTATTAGGTATGTTATGCTGGGGATTGCATATGAGTATAGGTTGGACAAAGTGGCCAATGATATTTGATCCAAAAGCTAAGAGGGAAACACTACAGTTTACCAAACAGGGGAGTGATATGGTCAGTCTTGTGCTTTAGGAATATTACTGACAATCCTGTTGAGAATAGTTATAAATGAGGAGAGATTTGAGACAGGGAGACCTATCAAGTTAATGGTACCCTTGAGAGAAAGAGGGAAGTACAGGGATGGGTTGTTATGATCAAATGAGATAGTGCCATAAAACATTATGTATACTGTTAATGTCAGTGACTTTTAATATTTACACCATCTCACCACATCAGGTAGTAATGAGGAAAGGGCTCTGTAAATCCTAAAGGGCCAGGTAAATGTCAGCTATTATTAACAAGATCAAGTGTTGTACTGTTCAGAGAATCCAGAGTTCAGTCATTCAGAGAAGGGAAACACCAACATTTACTTGGAGTACTCGAGGATGTGAAATTTGAACTCAGTCCTTGAAAAGTAGATAGGAGTTGGGAAGGCAGAAGTGGAATGAGCACATCAGGGAAGGGCACAGCCTGAGCAAAGGGTTGGAGACCTGACAATGAGCATAACAGTATGTGTCCTTGTTGAGAATGATTCATATGTGACGTAGTTGGAGATTTATGAAGTCCATTTAGAAATGCTGAAGCAGAATGATGGCAGAAGTCAAGAAGAAGATTACAAATCAAGTTGAAAGTCACCTATAAAAGTTGGGCAATTAGGTCAAAAAGTTCCTGAGTTCAAATCTGGCCTCAGACACCTACTGGGCAAGTCACTTAATCCTATTTGTCTCAGTTTCCTCATCTGTAAAATGAGCTGAAGAAGGACGCAACAAACCACTCCAGTAGCTTTGCCAAGAAAACCCAAAGAGGGTCATGAAGAGTCAGGTGTGTCTGAAAAACAAATGACCGAATAAATGAAAAGTTGGAAAAGATCCCAGTAAGGAGGTAGAAACAATAGCCAGAAGATGCAGTGAAAAGTTACTATTCATTCTCTTAGGATCATTACACCGAGAACATTGTATTTAAATCTCTTGGTGAAATTTAAGCTGAGAAACTAGAAGAAAGGAGATAACTTGAGATGAATTTTAAATGTGCTACGTTCACTCATATCATGTGCTGACATCATGTAAGTAAGCAGGTTTTAAACATTAGAAGAGGCTCTCTAGAGGTAGCAGTATATAATTCTGAGGAAAACAAAGATATGTGCTATATTTTAATTTTTAAAATTACCAATGAAAGTTTTTTTTTAAAAAAAGTGCTAGTTGACTAAATTGGTGAAAAATAAATAAAGGCAGGGGAAATTAACCACAAAGAAAAGTTCATGAAGATTTTTTTGGAAAGGGGAGAGTTATAGGAAGCTAATAGATGCCCCACCACACCATATGACAGATTCAGAACCAGAAGGGGCCTTTAAACTCCACTACTTCAATCCCCCTACTAAATAGAAGCCTAGCATTAGGTAACTTGTCCAAGATCACACAAGTAATGTATAGCAGAGCTAGGGAGATTTGAACCCTTGTCCAGTCCAGCACATTGTCTACTGAACCACTCTGTTTCCCCCTTTGACCTCAGAAAGCATATAATTCAGTATAATTTTTTTCTGTAAACTCTGACAGAAAAATGAAATAAACTAATATGCTTTCTAGCTTTTGTTTCAGAGATTTTCATATTCAGAGGATTCTACTCCTAAAAGGATATAGCAGTGCCAATCTTCACACATCATACATAGTTGTTTTTCAGTTGTGTCCAACTCTTTGTGGCTCTATTTGGGTTTTCTTGGCAAAGATCCTGGAGTGGTTTGTCATTTCCTTTTTTGGCTCATTTTACAAAGGAGGAAATTGAGGCAAACAGGGTAAAGTGACTTGCCCAGGATCATACAGCTAGCAGGTGTCTGAGGCCAGATTTGACCTCCAGGGCTAGCTCTCTTACCTTCTGTGCCACCTAGCTAGAAAAAAACATTAACTAGAGATACTCTAAAGGTAAAAACAAAATTCTAATGCAAAAGTTAGCTTTATTACACATTTCTTCTCCCTTCAGTCTATGAGGATATTGAAAAAGATCAAATGCTATAGATGTACTTTCAATTGGTACAGTTTGACCAAAAAATATGTTTATACTGAAAAAATTGTCTACTGCTAGCGTGTGCATAGTGCTTAACATTCAATGGGGAGGTGCTGTCGCTTAAAGAACTTCATTGCACTTAGAAGTAAAGTTGCATTTAGTTCTGCTTTGTTCCCTTAGGGTACAGTCAGATAATTAGTAAAATTTGCCTTTTTAGTATATTATCACAGAGGCAGAAAACCTTTTTAAAAATAACTGACATCTTACATTTATGTAGATAAGACAGATACTTAATTAGTTAGTGGTTCCTGCTAGTGCTTTAGAGTTTGTAAGGAGTTTTTCACACAATCTCCTGTGAACTGCCTAACCCTATGAGGCAGGTGCTAGGGGAAGGGGGTTGTTCGCACTTTACAGATGAAGAAGTTGAGGCCCTAAAAGCTGAAGTGACATTCTCGAGGCCAGACAGCTGTTAAATATCCAAGGCAGGATTTGAACCTAGTACTTCCTATCTTCTGTTCTTGCATTTTAGCCACATCTCCCTTATCATAATCCTGGGAAAGCTTCTAGAGGGAAAATGCTTCACCTGGAATTCCATTAACTTGGATAGAATTATTTGTAATGTTTTCATAATGGTATTTCAATACAAGCGATTTCCTTTTAATCCTATATATTTTATTTAAAATGTTATTCTGAGAAGGGAATTCATAGGCTTCTACAGACTGCCAGAATGGCTGTGACATAAAAAAGGCTAAGAATCCTCGCAAGTCTAGATTTTTACATCTAATTGCCCTAGCCAAAATTCATAACACCTCAGCACACAGTGTATTGTAGCTAAAATAAAACAAAATTTAAATTTATAAATCAATGTCTTTTAAAAAGATGCATCCACAGATGGAAGTATACTATTTGCTCTCCTTTTCCTTTGCTGTTTGTTTTGTTTCTTCTTTTTCATGGTTCTAACTCTTCTTTACATCATGACTAATGTGAAAATATGTTTAACATGAATGTATAAGTAGAGCTTATATCAGATTGCACGCTGTCTTAGGGAGGGGAAAAAATTTAAAACTCAAAATCTTATGGAAGTGAATGTTGAAAACTAAAAATAAATGAATGAATTATAAAAAATAAACTATAAAATCCCCCCCCCCAAAAGAAGATGCATTCACTAAATATTGCCTGTGCTCTAAGGCTCACAAAATATTTCAGCTTCTCCTTTGGCAAAGTAGATACTCTACCAAAAGGATCAAGGGGATGATTGAATGACTTATAAAATCTTTTTTTTTTTTAAAATTCCAATCCTTAATAAAAGTCTTTGAACCAAAGTACCTGCTGAGCTGTAGGGCTGATTGGCTGAGTTAAAGAGGGTGTGGACAACTTGCCAAAGGTTCAAGAGTTTCTCCCCCAGAAGCTCGGGTTCATTTGCTCAGTGTCTAAAAGGCTCCCCCTCCCAGACTATAGCGAGAAGTCTCCAGCTCAGGCTTTTGCTCTTTCCTCTTCCAACATCGGACCTCCACAGGGTGCTGGAGGAAGCAGACCCCAGGTGAGTGCACCACCCAGGAGTGGGCAATCATTCAGAGAGCCTGGGAGCTGGTAGAGGGAAGGGAGAGAGCTCAGTGACATAGTGGCCAACCAGAAGATGAGCAGCCCGGCGAGAGGACGGGCAGCCCGGCGAGAGGACGGGCAGCCC